CGATTCACGGTTTGAAAACGTATCATTTCACCACATGCTAATGCTAACCGGAAGTGAAGAATTTTCAGAATAAAAGTATTAAGTTAATAGTGTCAACTTCCGTTTTTTCCCACAATAAAACTGATTTAAATTAAATAGTGTATTTAATTCAAAATTACGCCATATCAACATTGATTTTAATTTCTAAAAGTATGTATGTACATCACTATGTATGTAGTATACACTGTATAATGTACACATGTAGAGTTGTAGAAAATACATGGTGTACAGACAGTACAGTACACTGACTGTACAGTCAGTCACTACAGTGTAGCCTATACTGTATAGTAGGTGTGTAACAGTGTAATGCGTATAGTCTACTCTACACTCTACCTTTCAGCAACGTTTTAGGGATTTAGGCTCAGTCAGCTCAGGGACTGTTTGGTTACTTTAGTTTGGTAAATGAAATAAATGTTTGAACTTTGTAGTAGTTCACTGTAGTTGCTGTCATAAGTCATTTGTAGACTAAGTGGCAAAAAGTGTTTTTTTTACATTTGTACTTTGTAGAGAAATGTAGACACAAGTTGGAAGGGAGCACAATAAACCTGATGAGTTTGAATTTGAGTTAATTATGAGTTCATTTTTAATTGATAATTAGCTCACAATAAGTTCATTTTAGTTACTCACACAACTTGACACAAGCCATGGGTTCAGGTCCGGACTTATAAGTCCGGACCTGAACCTGAACCACTGGACTTGAGTCCGGACCTGAACCTGAATGTGAGTCAGGCGCGCCGGATTCATTTTAGAAGTGGGGGGGGCAAAAAAAGTGTGTGTGTATGGCCCAATCCCAAACCACGCCCTACACCTACACAAACACCCTCCGTGACGGAGTGAACTCCGTGGAGTGACACATGAGGCTCCCTCCTGTCAGATGGAGGGAGTAAATACAGCAGCAAGCTTTGGGACAAACTCCCCTCTCTCTGGCAGAAACAGGAAATGCGTAACTGTATGTAGGCCTAACAATGGTTTCAAATCAGCATCTCTTAGACAAAAAATGTAAATGAATAACTCAAATAAAACTCCAAACATCTTTGGTTACTTTATGTAAAGCTCTTTTAGTTTTAAACCTGATGTTTATAAGCTTCTTAGTTTTTGCAATAGTCTGTAAATATACACAACTTTATAATAAAATGCACACATTTACCTTTTTCTAGACTAAACACAGGTATGATCCTAAGTTAAAAAAATATGAGGTTATCATGAGGTTGTTAACATCGCAATTTATCAGTATCGTTTAGTGGTCTTGCAAATAATGAACCACTCTCTGTTTTTGTACCATTCTGCGTTGAAGTATCCTTCTCTTTGCTCAAATAATCTACTAGCGGTCTCCTTTTTCCCGATAGTTAGCTGTACAGCTTTACCCGCCTCAATGTCCCAACAACAAACCTCCATGCAGTCGGAACCAGCCTGTTTCGGTTCAACGACGGTGGGGGCGGCGGCGGTTTTGACAGTTTCTGTGGCCGCAGAGGTGCTGCTTTTGGGTTCATCTGGCTTCGCTGCTTCTATGATTGATGAAGGTCCAGGCTCCGGAGATGTGGATGTCAGGGATGTGACCTTCCAGTTGTTACATTTAAGTTTAGATTGACTGTATTTGTGACCTGCTCCATCGAAATCAGTCGCATTGACCCGAAGACACATTTTGAGTTGTATACACTGTTGGAAAGAGGATATTCCTAGCTCTCTAATGATATCAGGATTGTTTTTGTACTCCAAATATTAAGCGAAATATGTCACATTATATAATGACTGTCACCGAGTCCTCATTTTGAGAAAAAGGCCTTAAAAGTTTCCTCTTCTCTGGAATCCATCGATCTGATTGATTATTAGCGGAGCAAATGATCAAAATACTACGGAGGGAAGATATTTTCGTTTGGAGGGGAAGCTCGCGAGTGTGTGTGTATACGTGTGTGTGTGTGTGTATACGTGTGTGTGTTTGTGTAATTTTGCGTTTGTGTGTATTGTGTTTGTTTCCAGGGGAAAACCCTCACGAGAAACACCGGCTGTTGTTATGCCTGCTATGACGTTAAATTACTCCGTTCTCCGCTTGTAATTATGCCGAAGCTTCAAAGCTGTATTTATCATCTGAATTTGCCGAAACAAGTTTAATATTCTGAAAGCCAAGACTTTGTTTAATTAAAATCAGATGAAAACAAACTGTAACGGACCCTGCCGTGTTATCTATGATTACTATACTCTTACATTCATAATTTCAGCGAAGGGAGGGGGGCGGCGCTGCGGAAGAGCAGATTGCGAGTGAGAGGTGCCTGTCTTCATCCCTTTACAAGCTTCAAAAATGTATCTATCGTGTGATTTTGGAAATAAAAGTTTCATATTCTGAAAGCCAAGACTTTGTTTGTTTAAAATCAAACAAAACACCCGAACCCTGAAAAAATAGTTTTTTACGTAAATCCACGTTTATTCTGAAATGAGCCGTTGCGACTTCCGACTGATTTCGATAGAGCGGTCACATTTAGTTTTCTTCTGCGCTGGTTCTTCTGACATGTTTGCAAGTGTATATATTATTTCTAGGTTAACGGCTGACACACACAGAACAACGTAACAAATAAAGTAAACAACGTAACAAATAAACAAATCTAAGCTTTTTTATTGGTTGTAATTTACATGGATACATTTGAATGGTGTGACAATGTCCTATTTGATTGGGTTAAAATGTACATATTCTTCCTGTTATGTCTGCCTGCTTTATTTTACCTAATGCAAAGTTACCTGCTGCTCCATCGAAATCAGTCGCATTGACCCGAAGACATATTTTGATTCCTAGCTTTCTAATGATATCAGGATTGTTTTTGTACTCCAAATATTAAGCAAAATATGTCACATTATATAATGACTGTCACCGAGTCATCATTTTGAGAAAAAGGCCTTTAAAGTTTTCTCTTCTCTGGAATCCATAATTTCTCATCATCAATCATCATGATTGATTATTAGCGGAGCAAATTATCAAAATACTACGGAGGAAAGATATTTTCGTTTGGATTACTGCACTCACGAGAAACACCGGCTGTTGTTATGCCTGCTGTGACGTTAAGTTACTCCGTTCTCCGCTTGTAATTATGCCGAAGCTTCAAAGTTGTATTTATCATCTGAATTTGCCGAAACAAGTTTAATATTCTGAAAGCCAAGACTTTGCTTATTTGAAATCAGATAAAAACAAACTAACGGACCCTGCCGTGTTATCTATGATTACTGCACCTTACATTCATAATTTCAGCGGGAGGGAGGGGGGGCGGCGCTGAGGAACAGCAGAGTGGCGAGAGCTGTCATCTTCCCTTTACAAGCTTCAAACATGCCTGTAGCTAGTGAGATTGAATATAACAATCAAAAATAACAAAATATACACAGCTAGATCAGATCACGTTTTAGATGCGACTTTAGAGTAGAGGGGAATGATTGAAACGGGATTTGTACAGTTTTCCGCGGCACAGTTTCATGGAAACACATCAGCTTTTGGACGACAGTCAATATGGATTCAGGAAAGATAGATCAACATCTATGGCACTAATGGAATTAAGTGAGGAAATAGCAAACTGCATGGACAATAAAAAACAAGCAGTGGGAATATTTATAGACTTACAAAAAGCATTTGACACCATCACAATATTTTACTGATAAAACTGGAACGGTATGGCATCAGAGGGGTGGGATTAAACTGGGTGAGAGATTATTTAAGCAACAGACAACAATTTGTTGAATTTGTTGAAAACATAAAACAAATCCACAGATACAATTAATACTAGATAACATACACATGAATTAATAAATATTAATAATTTATTATTATTATTAATATGAAGACTTTTTTTGTTTTTTTTTGTTGAATATACAAATATTACCATGAATGTGGATAAATACTGTATTATAACAATACGGTATTCTGTTTTTCACATTTGTTATTTTTTATTTGTTATTTTTTAATCTGTTCGAAATAAAGACTGAAAAGAAAAAAAAAAGAAAAAAAAATCTGCTGCTGCAAAAATGTGGGGCAGGGCTGAAAAGTGGGGGGGCCAATGGCCCCCTGGCCCCCCCGCTTCCGGCGCCCTTGATGTGAGTCCTGTCCAGGTACGCAGCACTAATCCCATATGACAAGAATTTGGCCCGCTGGAAAGCCATTACAGATGCGGTCGGTATGTATATAGCAAAGGATATGGTGCCAATATATCCTCCTGGGACCCAGCCCATTGAAAATGTCCACTGTAGTGGACATTTTGTTAACATGCATCTCCTTTTACTCTTTTGAGCTACTCTATCAATCCCTAATGTGCTGTACAGAAGACATCCTGGTCTTTCCAGTGATATGTCATTGGTTAAAATTGGAACAATTACTTTGTCATCTGCATATGAATTGGGGGGGGGGGGAGAAAATCGTTTTAAATCGTAAATCGGATTTTTTGTGAAAAAATCGGGGATTTCTTTTTTTGGCCATATCGCCCAGCCCTAACTTTAAGTATAATTCAACTGAAAAACCAATACAAAAAATAATCGTTTTATTTCGATTATGTTGTTTTCATAATCGTTGCAAGCCAAAATCGTAATCGCGATTAAAATACGATTAATTGAGCAGCCCTAGCTTAACTTAAGGTGGACTTGTGTTCAGCGTGATGACGTTATCTCATTTAGTCATGCATTTTTATACGACACATAGTAGCTTTGGACATTAACGAGTGGGGTATTTAACAAAACGTAAAAGTCTATGAAGCTTGTGTCAACAACATCTGAAAAACACGTTCAATAAAACGTTGACTTCAAGACGAGGTAACTGAATGTGGTAAAAAGCTAACTCCCATGCTAAATCATTTCTTGGTTTTAGGGCTCATTCCTGCACTACTCTAATGGAGCTTATACCTTACTTCCCTCTGCAACTACTCCCTTTCTTCTACCAACACACCACTTTACATATTTTTCTGACTTTCTGTGTTTTTGTTTCCTCTCTCCGCCAGGCTCAAGACAAGAAGAAGGCCCTGGAGGAGACCAAGGCGTACACCACCCAGTCTCTGGCCAGTGTGGCTTACCAGATCAATGCCTTAGCTAACAATGTGCTGCAGCTGCTGGACATCCAGGCCTCGCAACTGCGACGCATGGAGTCCTCCATCAACCACATCTCCCAGGTAGGGGTGTCACAGTAAAGGATTTCCCCCCTGAGATGAAAGATATTGATTGATTTTAACAGTATTGGTTTTGTTTTTGGATATACTTTTCAGATTTGTGTTTAATATAATAAGGTTTGTTGTTAGGCTATTGATATGTATATTGTTGACATTTAAACGACAAGTAGACACAGTTATAAGATCGATTGAAGAGTTGTGTATTGTTAAATGCAGAAAACAGAAGAGAATTAAAGGTGCAGTGTTTTTCTTTTTCAGCTTAGATGCTTTGTATCCGCACAAGCAAATGTTCCATACTTGCTTTGGCCCTTGTTTGGACATAAACGTCCTAAGTTCATAGGTTTAGAGGAAGTAACTGCCAATCTGTGTGTTCGTTCCTCCACCAACGAGGATTAGGGTTAGAATGTGATCCTCCACTGTGATAAGAAGGCTGGGTAAACGGGGCAGTAGCAAATACAGTGTTTTACCTAAAGTTCAACAATTTCTAACTCTTGGCAACCAGAAAAAAAATGTCAACCTCGTCTGCTAGATCAAAAAGGAAAAAATAAACTTGAATTTAGTAGTTGTGGAGAGTGCTTGTCATCCCTTCCTGTTGGCTTGTCAATTAATAACGTGGTATTGAAATATTGAGGTTATTGCGTCTGCATTAATGCATCATTTCCAGGGTCTTTATTTATCTCATCTGCCTATAGAACAAGGCCTTTATTCCAAACAAGCCTACAATAGAGGCAGGCCATTTTAGTTTGACATCCGTATCCGTATGAAATCTCCCTGTGTTTTCGACTTTACTTTGAATTGGCTTCTTGATGCTGTTGGATGTTACTGCAAACACAAAACCTCCTCTATTTTGACCTGTTACCCATAAATCATAAAGTACATTTCCATACCAGTCATCATGTCACACTGACCACCAGTTCCTCATCTCTGACAGAAATACTTTTTTTATTCACACACGATTTCCATTCCTTCCATGGGGGATATTGCTGGATCAAGGTGTGGGCTTTGGGGATTGTCATCTCCAAATGAAACCTATTCGAGTACAATCAAATACAAACCTGCTGGCATTAATCCGTGTCATAACACCAAAGAGCACAATGGCACATTCACGCTTTATAAAGACAGACAGGGGCATGGATCATGCTGGAGCTCCACAGCCGCTCTTCAGTCGCTCTTGCTTCATCAGCAGTCCTCTCTCTTTCTCTCTGTGTGCGGCCACCCTGCCTGTCAGCCAGTGAATGTCCCGGTCCCCCCCCCGTGTGCTTCATTAAGCCTGTCAGGGATGAAGTTCAATTCTGACGCCAGCTCCCTTTTGCCTGGTTAGCATTTCTAGCTCCTGTTTTACTCCACAGACTGCAGGATGGAGTACAATTAGGTGCAGCAGGATACCGAAGATAAAGTATTTTATTGATCCTTTAGATGGCCTTTTGATATTTCTGCTTCAGATCCTATAGCTATATAGGGCTATGTATAATATCGCAGAACATAAACGGTTAAGTCAGTATTGGCACTTGACTGTAGTCGCTACTGAAAGCTTCTTTTTTTAATTTTTTTACCTCTTGTCAATTAGAGGCAAGGCAAGTTTATTTATATAGCACCTTTCAACACAAGGCAATTCAAAGTGCTTTACAAAAATGAAATACATTAAAGGTGGGGTATGTCATTTTGGAGAAACTAGCTCGAGGGCGCTAGAATTTGAAAATACACAGCCGGAAAAAATCTACCTCCTCCTTCAGACTTCCTTACAGAGCCCCTCCTCCAACACACACGAACGCGCACATGACCAATGAGGGCACGAGATAAGTTTGTGCACAGATGGAAGGCTGACAGGCAGGTAGGCCATCCAGTTATTTTAGCCGAGCCGGTTTTTTAATTTTTTTAATGTATTTATTGTCAAAGCATTTAATATATTCATTGCTATCGGGATGTTAAGAGCATTCCATGGAATATAACAAAAAGTGTTTCTGAAATAAATTACATACCCCACCTTTAAGAGCATTAAGAAACATATTATAAAATGGCATTTAAAAACACTCATTTAAAAGCAAAGATAATAAAACAAAGGTACATGAATACAAGTTACAGTACAGTCTGAGATACACACATCTGAAATGTTTAGGTCTGACTCTCAATCATTGCTAACTTTTTAGCAGAAATAGTTTTCTATGACCTCACTTTCTTTCTACTTTCTTTTTTAACTTACAGTACATCAAACCTTGGTAAAAACCAAGCAGCCATTTCAACTTCCCATAGCAGTAAAAGTAGAACTATACATTTACAATGTCTCCTTTCCATATGACTGTTCCAGCGAAGCTAAATGGCACAATACTAGAACGGTATGAAAGCTAACAGGATGCATCATCAAAGTTTATTTTGTATTTTATTACACCTGTTTATTGGAAGAAGCTTCCTTTCCGGATTTCCATCAACGCTTTACACAAGGCAATCTAATAGATATGGTTCAATGAGCTTCGATAAACGCTGGCTGCTTTATTATATTCGTTTGTGATTCTAATAAAATAGTTCTGATTAAACAGACATGGTTTGAAGCTAATGTTATCGTCTTCAGTGTTTAACAAAATTATTGATGTCAAAACCCATTCAGAATGGCATTGATTGCAAAGATAGGGGACATCTTCAGTGAAAATGTCATAATAATAATTTAAATAAGCTTTACAGACTATATAGGCTTAAACACACAAGAAACAATCATTTTGGCTGTCTCAAATTTGATCCTTCACACAGATGCGTTGGAATCAAGTTTTTAAATCAAGGGAAAAGTGAATTGACTTTAACATGCATTTCATAAAGGGCTTGAATGTATTATTCTAGTAGGGATATGTCCAAGGGAATGCATTCTAACTCTCGTGCTTGTGCCAGGTGTTTTCTTTAGCCTGGGTTGGTTACTCTAAAGAGTTCAAATGGGATTAGAGAGCGAAGGTAGCAGCCAAACCTTGCTGCCACATCCAAGCCCCATCTCTGTAGGATTTAAAAGCCTAAAGCAAAGGAGGCTGTCACAAACTCCTCCAAGAAATGTGACTAAATGCAAAACAACTTGTTTAATCAAAGCAGAGAAATGATTCTCCTCTCCGTGTGACCGACAAAAGTGCTTGGGATTCAGTTGCGATACCTTCCCCTGAGTCTCTTTTGGTCTTTTCCATTTCCTCCTTGCTGTTTGCCAGTTTGCTATCTGATTCATCTGTTCACTTATTTCTCAGACGTTGTCATCCATCAACTCAATGACCCACTTGTGCCTCTTTTTGCTTCATTTCAACCCGCTAAATCCTCTCAAGTGCAGAATGTACCTAGAATAACATCCGAACGTTCACAAAACGATAATAGCACAGATGCGGACGCTTGCGATTCATAACTAGGGAATAGGATGTCTGCTGGCTGACTTGGTAGACTTGTTACCGAGCCACATATGAGATCATTGATGTATGAAATCACACACATCTGCTGACACGGCTTGATACAGACTGCATCATAATTTCCTCTCGACAAAAAAACACTCCAACAAGAGTAAACAAACTTGTTCCGACTCTACTGCAGAGACTTACTATTTGCTGAAACACAGATTTATTTGGATGAAACTTCGATGTAGATCCAGCAGTGAAAATAACAGATGTAGCATCTGCTCTCACAAACACAGTTCAGAGGTTGAGCAGATGTTTATTAGAGTAAAGATATTGCAAACCAATTAGATTGAGAGCAGAGGAAAGGCATAGAGAGGTATGTCGTCCATGATTAGGTTATTGCGTCCAATTCATTCATAAAGATTACCTCATTTTGATAACTTCCTTTTTCATAATGTACGTTAAAAGGAAATTCTGAAATAAAGCTGCCAGGCTGCAGTCATCCCCAAAGAAATGTTCCACGCCTCCTGAAACGCTGCTTCAATTTCTCCTCAAGAGTCATTTTAGATGGTACTTTAATGGTATTTCAGTATTGACATAAGATGGGCAATGACACATTTTTGCATTAAAATGTCAAAAAACAACTAGACCTATGTTATATATTTGTTGAGTTTTGTACTTCCATTATCCCAAACGTTATAATCATGGCGTCATATGTCCTCGGTCTGCCCGAAGTGGTAATAAACGGACTCTTTATACTTTTTTTAAAGCCAGCTTTTTGACAATACACATAGATTTGTTTGTGTTTTTTGACTTCATGTTCAGGATACACGTCATCTGACTTCTAGATCTTATCTTAATTTCTCAAAGAAACGATTCAAGCAAACATTGACATCTGCCAAAGTAGGTTTGATAAACATTGATTTGAAACATAACATGCTTTTAATCAGTGTATTTCATTGGTATAATCACCCATTATGTTTGTTTTTAAGAGAAAAAGACTTCTGTGGATAATTCAGCTCATAGAAAAAATATCCTCGAGGAAAAACAATCAAATAATTCACAAGGGAAACTGACTACTGTGACAAACTTCCATTATTCAACGCTACTTCACAAAGTCACCAAACTCAATTTCTTCAATTGAAAATTAGATGTGTGCATAGAAAGATGTCGTCTTAAAATGAAGTCCTAAAATGTTCTACTTTTTTTCCTTTTTGATCATGACAGCCCACACAAATCAGATTGTAGTATTACATTTCTGCATTTTCTCTTTAAATGTTCTCGTCCATTTCAAACAGTCAGTGCCTTTCTATCCTTTCCGGGTTTTGTTCTTCTCGCTTTCTCTAATCTGCACTCCACCTCTTCTCGCCTCTCAATGGCAGGAAATAGGTGGGTCTTTTATTTTCTTCTTTACTTCCCAGCTGAAGTTGGGCGTGCCGCTTCAGTTTCCTCTCCTTAAAAAAGAGCCTAGCATGTTCTCTATATATATCTCTCACATGCGGCACACAGACCTCACGTCACACCCACAGAGAGAGTCAACTAAGAGCAGGTCAACTTCACAACACCTGATTTTACCACATCAGACTTTCAATTTCTCCGTTGGACTCTTCATCTCCAGCAGTGAAGCTGTCGGGTCGGCTGAATAAGATGTCTGAGTGGTGATTGATTTGTGACCTTGTTGCTGTGTGTGGGACTCACACTTTTAACTTAAAAAATACCCTCAGTTACATTCACACACAGACTCATATGTTTCATTTCAATGAGTCTCTTACAATCATACAACCCAGTGTACACCAATTGTACTGCATGATTTTTAACAGTATGTGGTAAATGGTGTACATTTATATAGCGATATTCCAGTTTTGGTGACCCCTTAAATCGCTTTTAAATACGAATTACCATTCACATACTTTATTCTATAGAGGCAGAACCTGCCCTAAGGTGCCATCTCAGTAATACTAACATGTACACACACTCAAACACATTTACTCATCATTGGCCATGTCATCAGGAGAAATGTATCTTGTCCAATGACACTGCAACATTTTGACTTGACGGGGACCAAACTACCTACCTCCTGAGCCAAACCCGCACCTTCACTATAATGGATTTATATTAAGACTGGGCAATATATTAGTATTATATTTATTTATTTATAAAATATGTTATATCATTTTTGATTTTGGGTATCCTAAGTGTTGTCTTTCCTTGTTTAATGCAGCAATACAGTTAAGTGATGTCATTTTCTCTATTTACCAGCATTTTCTGTTACATTCCCCAAATTCTAGGGGATAAAGGAAGTAACAAATAGTATATTAAATCAGGGGGAAAAAGAAAGAGAGAAGACTGAATTGTGAAAACCAGAAGATGTTGTCTAATAACTCTGAATAATCCATTATCTGTAGATTTCATCAAAAATACCACCATATATGATTTTCTTCATATTCACCCATCCCTAATTATTATATGTCTCACATGAGCCTTAGAAACACTTGCACTCGTCAGCACTCTTCTCCCAAGGGTGACCTCGTAGTCCAGATATGAAGCCGCCCGTAGTCCTTCATTCTAGCCCACCCTTTTCGCTCGGGTTCCCCTCCCTCCATTCCGTCATCCCTCACTCCTTCCTGTCTCATCTATCATTCATAAATTGAATGCCGGTCCACAGTGCGCCTGCTGTGAATGGGTGCTGTGAGCAATAATGACAGTAACCCTAGAAGAAATGGAGGTCACTGGTATTTCCAAGTGCACCCAGTGCGAGGGGTTAAAGGGGAGCCTTGTCAAATGGGCCCCAGGGTGTAGGCCAATAGAGCAGAGTAGTGGGTCAGTACAAGTTCAAAGGATGAACCCAGAGTGTGTGTTCAGACAATGGGTGGCCAGGAATTTAAAGGCCATAGTGGAATAAACTGTGTGACATTCATAAAGCATAATTATCTTTTTTTAATACACAGTAAATACATGTTCTGATGCCAATTGCCAACAAAGACTAGAAGGGTCAAAGTATGAAATGCTTAACTGTAATTGCAGAGTGCATTAGATATTAAATACAGATTAGTTGTGCACAGGCCAACATCATTTTGCCCATGAACAGTAATTCAAGCAAATATGCTTGAAAAGATAGGGAATATTGTAATAATAAATATGCTTGAATATATTAGAAAGGTAGCAATAAATATACAGCGAAAATAGTAAATATATCAGTAATAATAATGTGACGATGATGGGCCTGAAACAGAGCCCTGAGGGACCCCAAAGCTGTTTTAATTTCAAATGTGACCATATTGTTGCCCCTAGCAAGCATTTTAAATTGGGTTTTGAAAAATTTTTAAACATAAAAACATGCTGTTCTTCTAATTTGTGAGGTTTTTTTTCACCAGTGTTGAAGTAAGGGGAGGGAGGGAGAGAGAGAGAGAGAGAGAAGAGAGAGAGATAGAAAAGAGAGAAGAGACAGAGAGAGAGAGATATTTGCGAGTTGCATAAGAACTGGTAAGATAGCAGGGTTTCCCACATGGACTTTACTCGGGCGGGCCACCCAGGTATATTAACGGCCGCCAAAGTATAATTCGCGAGCCATTTAGGTTTAATTTTTTTAATCCGGCCGCGAGCTGTATCCCTCGCTTTTGCGTGAAGGGTGCTTTATGCGCTCCGCACAGTAACCCTGCTGCGAGGCATGGGCGAACAGTTCATGAGCGTGCTCACTAGCGCACCCCCCCCCCCCACCCCGTTCATAAAGTCAAGTACCCCTCAAAAGGTCCGGTTTATTTCATTTTAAGGATGAGCACCAAACAACATCTCCAGGTGCTCCTTTGAGAACCAGGGCAAAAAAGTGATGTGCACCCCTGGTTATGACCCTGGGAGGCTTTTCATGCAAAACAGATGGCGGAAGTATGGGTATTCACCAAAAGCAAATTTGTGTAATAATCACTGGGGATGACATTTCAAGAAATGACATTTCATATAATTAATCCAATCTCTACAAAACAGGGAAAGGTTCTAAATCATGCATGTCCCTTATCAAAACCTTTTGCAATACATTTAGAGAATGTTGTGCAATATGAGGAATACACCCAAAAAGGTCTGTTTACCCAACCACTCATGTTTCCCTTTGTTTCTCTTTCTCCTGCAGACGGTGGATATCCACAAGGAGAAGGTGGCACGTCGAGAGATCGGCATCCTGACCACAAATAAGAACACAGCCCGCACCCACAAGATCATTGCCCCGGGTAACATGGAGCGGCCGGTGCGCTATATTCGAAAGCCCATCGACTACACGCTGCTGGACGATGTGGGACATGGCGTCAAAGTAGGACATTTATTGGTCATTATGTCGTGAAAAATCTATTGTTCCTGTATAAAAAACGGATTTCCGTGCAAGCAAACTTAATCTCAATGCATTAATTGACTTATATTTAAAGCAACCCTAACCCTAGTTTCTTTTTTACTATTAAGCTACTGGTTTTCTAAAAGGCACCTCCACATTATTCCAGCATCACCACAAGCAGAGTGTTGCAGCCAAATACCAAAGTCATTACTTTGATGTATCGTCCTGATTTCCACTGTAAATCTATTTTGCTGGACGGGTAAACACACACTTAGTCGCCGCTTCCATGTGAATAAGCCGACCGTCTCCTTTCATAATTCACTCACCCTGCAGGCCGATCAATACAATGGCCTTTTAGTTAATTAAGTACAGAAACACCTAGAAATGTTTCAAGCCCTCGTCCGAGTATTAGACCTGAAGTCTGAACCTGACTGGGGCTGAGCTTTTGTTCATGCCTAGTTACAACTCACCAAGCTGGAATTGAATGAAATGTGGGTATAGAACCAAGAGGGTGAGAGATCTTGGCCTTTTTGTACCCCAACTTTCTCTATTGAATTGTGGGAACATTTTCTTTCAACCTTTTTCCGGCTCCTTCTTAAATGTTTTATTCTCTCTCCCCATGATCCATCTCGCCTCCTCCCCTCTTCTTCTTCTCCTCTTTCATACTACAGTCTGTGTGTTGTTTCATGTGCAGACACACCATAATGCGCATTGATGGCTGGTGTCACACATTTCCGCAGTTTGTTTGAGTCGCACTCCTCATCCCACTGTCTGTCTCTATTGAGATAGTGGCTGTCCGCCAATTTTCAGACATCCGCTGATTTAATTCAAAAAGCCAGTGTTCCCTCCTCAGAGAGCTGGCTCACACTGAGGCGGATTTGGCATGGCCCACTATGCAAATGAAGCATCCTTCATGGAGCTGCAGATGATGGATCTGTGCAGAGATTAGAGCAGATCAGACCAGAAGCTGGAAAATATACACATGCATAGAAAACAGCCGATCATGCTGCCAATCCTTAAGAAAAACATGACTCAGACATCTGTGAAGTGACTTATTTTGAGTCTGGGATAGAGTGGTGCAGAAATGACTTCTTAACTTGAAAATAAGTTAGCATTTTTGCACTTCCAAGCGTCCTTATCTGTAAGTGAATGGTTTTTTGAATGGGTTTTTAGTTAGAGGCCGGAAATAAGGTCTGTGGTTAACGCAAGCCAACAAGATTTTCATCTTTTTCTCTACTCTCCGGTTATCAAATGAAGTCAATGCGACCGTTAACTATTTACTTCCGACAAGTATCATAAACGTGTTTGTGAAAATGTTGTAATCTGCTAAATCCAATGGAAAAATCCCATTTATTTTTGTCAAGATAACCCTTGCGATTCTAACTATTCGGTCAGCCCACATACGGAAGTCATCACTGCACCACTCTATAGGACAGCACCTTACATTTGACCAAGTTTGGTAGTTTTTTGATGAAGGTCGGATCATCATTTTAGCCAGGAAGAAAACATCTGAGGACTTGTGGTTGGTTCCTTTGAAATTCTCTGTGATTTTCTGTCTGGCTTTGTATGTGTTGTATGTGTCTGTGGCTGCATTTCTGTTCATTCATGTGCATTTGTCTGGCGGAAATGCATATCCGTATTTCCCCAAGAACACTTTCTCTCTCACACACGTCAGTGAATAATTCATAAGGACTGATATTATTTCATACTCACGACTGCATAAGACCCTAGTGAGAAGAGTACAATATTCTGAGAAGTATATTAAAGCGTTGTGCGTGGGAATGTTTGTCTGTGTTGTTGCTTTAGTGTGCCAGTTCAATACCATCTTATTAGCAGTCTATTTCCTCCTGGCATTTGTGGATTTCCCTCGAGGCGTGATTCCCTCCCCTTTTGCCTTTCGTCAACATTACCAGGGGAACTCGCCCATGGATAGATGGGAAGTCAGACTGGAGCAGGGAAAGACCCATTCACACATTTACGGATGACTGTGCTCACCCCTCCACCTTAACAGCCTTTATTGGCATTACTGGCAGTTACCGGGGCGACATGGTTTCAGTCTGAACACCTCACTGCTGTTATTTATGACCTCGCCTTACTTTACTGCCCTTTAAGACACTTTAAGCCTCAGCACAACCACTTGCAGGTCAGGTACTGCTCATTATATCTAGTGTGTGTTGCTATTTAAGGGATTCTTATTCTGATTACAGTCTATAACGCAAGTCTAGACACTGACACAGAGTAACGTCACACAACATGCAGGTGTCAGAGTTTGAATCGGAAACATAGACAAATAATTATGAGCCCAGACCGAGTTTGTTTTTACAGATAATATGACAAATGTTGAGTTTGGTAAACGAACAAGACTTTTTTTACAGACTGTTTTTCACTCTTTTTGTTGTTTATTAAGCTTTTTTTTAAACTTTTTTTGTAACTGTATATAAAAATGTTATAATGAAAAATAGGTTCATGCATACTGCTTAAAATTCCCACTTCCTTTATATTAACTAAAGTTTACTAAACCATTAACCAATGAGCATGTCTTGTTTTCTGTCTTCCCTTTTACCCGCTTGCACTCAGTGGCTTAAGGCCAAGGTAAGATATAGTTATGTTTATCTTCTTGTGTTAGTCATGATACAACTCCTGCTAGTCTTTCATTTATACAAAAATAAACAATTATATCAAATGTTAAAAACACGAGTTAAGGTTTCATGGAAAAAATATGATTCCAGAAAAGGCTAATTTATTACAAGGAAACAAAGCATATGATTATACAGAATCTCTATTTTTCCCATTTCACTTTAACAAGGTCACAAACTTGATGTGAACATTTACCATAAGTGTACTATAGGTTCAACTATACAGATTTCTATGTCCTTTTTATATTTTCATCTATATACCAATTTACATCCTATTTTCCATGTACAATTTCTCCATGATGCTCTTGTAACACAAATGGAAGTTTGGCTAGCTAGGCCATTAAAGGTTTAAGTGACTCCTCTTACAGTGATGTAATCATTGGCATGGTAAACAAGGATGACATACAATATCAATGTTTTAACTTGTCTTTGCTCCTCTAGCAACATGGGAACAATGCAGCAGGACGAGGAGGGACACTTTCCAGGACCACCCCACCCACACAGAAACCCCCGAGCCCCCCCATGGCTGGTCGTGGTACACTAGGGTAAGAACATACAGCTAGCTAGGGGCAGGCAGTACCTCAGTCTTGAGGGACTTGGTTTGGGAACTGGATGGTCATAGGAAGATCACCAGACGGTCACAGGTCGTGTTTTGGGTTCATGTCCCTGTTCTGATGGGAAAAAATGTTTTCACCTGCCTAGGTGTCCTTGAGCAAGGCACCAAATCCCAAGTACTCCAGGGTGTCAACTATGGCAGCCACTTAACTCTAACACCTCTCTAATCAAGTATTTTGGGCCTTATGTGTGTACTTTAGTGTTTTGTAGATATGTGCAAGAATACTAAATATATTCCTTCACATAACGAAACATTTGTTATTTATTTCTTCTTCATTCTACCTCTTATAAATTATGTTAATACTGTCAGTTTAAGACAATTCTTACATTTCACAATGGTTGTTTATAACACCAGGACCACCTGACATAAACAGTGTCTATAAAAGCCAGAAGTGGACCCTCTCAACTCATGGAAACATTGAGAATAAACGGTGTCCTCTTTGGCTCTGTTTATATCTGTTTCCAGGCGTAACACTCCCTACAAGACCCTGGAGCCAGTAAAGCCTCCAGTGGTGCCCAACGACTACATGACGAGCCCCGCCAGACTGGGCAACCAGAACAGCCCTGCACGCACAGCCTCGCTCAACCAGAGGCCCCGGACCCACAGGTAGCACACACACTCTGTCCTTATACCTGCATTTAACACAGAGTTAATGTACCTGGGAAAAACATTTATTATCACTAGGTATTTGGACAACTTTCTACTCTGATGAAAGCAACGCCATACACGCCAATAAGTGAATATCAGGGATGTAATGCAACTTATTACATTGGCTTAACTACTGCAATTAGGTAACATAGTTATTTTCAATTATTGACTCGATTATTGTCTTTTCATGTCATTGTATACCTCTTAGAAGACGCTTTTATCCAAAGCAACTTACATACACTTCAATACAGTAGTCGTGCCTATGGAAGCAATTTAGAGTTAAGGAACTTGCCCAAGAACACTTTGAATAAACTACCAGGCCATTCTACACCCTGCATTTGCAAACTATCCCACAGCTGTTTTCAATGATGCCTTACTATTAATTAGGGATAAACGTCCCTAAAAATGCAAATGACTCCATTGCACACATTATATCTTACGGGATTTTATTGTGAAAGCATCGTTTTTTTCTTGTATCTGTATTGCTTGTGATAAATACACTAATATTTAACTCAAAAGCATAAATAAAAAATAAAAATTGCATTTAAAGGCAAAGTGTAATTACTCCCGCAGTTTTAGTTTTTGGGTTTGGAACTTGATTCCTCCAAACAAGCCTTGGCTCTCGTGGTGTTTTTGTTACACTGTGTAACTGCAAATGTGACTCCCAGATCTGTGCCCAGTACTCATGTGTGAATGTGCCAGACGGTGCATTCACAGGAACTGCAAATCTGTTGACACAGTGACAAGAGTACGAGACAGAATGACATATGAGAGAGTAATGGTATTATGTATAACGCTGTCATGTAATTAGGTTTGTCTCGCACATAATGATCACCACATTGACTCTTCTTAAATGTGTCTTTCTCCCTGCAGCGGCAGCAGTGGTGGCAGTGGGGGCAGGGAGAACAGTGGAAGCAGTTTAGTCGGTATCCCTATAGCAGTTCCCACCCCCTCCCCTCCCAGTATGGGGCAAGGTGAGTCCCAGCAGCCAGACACATTCAATTGTCCTCTAATGGCCTCAGTTGTCCACTCTGGTCTATTCTTGTCCTGAGCATTTTCTCTCACTCAAACATGATCTCATTTATCAGGTCAAACAGAAGGGAATCAATTCAGGACTGACAACACTATTAATAATACAATAAAATGTCATACAAATGTACCTCTATCAAATATTTAATTAGTAAAGACATTCATTTAGGGAATTCAGGTCGGTAGATTATAGGCAGATAATAGCACATTTATGCTTTTGTTGTTGTTGTTGTTATTATAAGTAGTGTTAGTATTATTATAGCCGATAAATGTTAGCTATTAGCTGTCATGGGCCAACACGTATATTATCTCAACACAATAACAGTTTGCAAATCAAGGTTTTTTATGTATTTAAAGAAAAAGAACAAACATTTGAAGAGTCAAAACTGTTCCTTAAAGTATATATAGTATTAAATCATCCATCTTTGTTAACTACATCTTACTATCAGTAGTGCATTAACTAAGTTATTAGATGGTTTCAAATACAAACATTAAAAAAACCGTGTGATCTTATCTGGAAAACATTTCTTAATCTTTATATTTATGTAACTCCTTGAAATATGGACTGAATTTACCTTAAATTAATGTGTACCCTTTGCAGGAAGATAAGGAAGAAAATTAGAGCAGTGCATAAATGTTTATTTTTATTTTTTATATCTCTTAAGCCCTGTAGTGTTTGCAACCTGAATTTAAATGCTCTTATCACTCCAGCAGCCGCTTATTATTTTACTCACAGTCTGCATGGAAATAAAGTGAAAATGTATGTGCAAACTACTGATAACCTTCTAAGTAAGTCGGCACTTAAAACGACTTATCATAATGAGTTTTTTTTAACGTCCTCTCCTGCAGTGGTGACATCCTCGGCCTCAGTGCCTCAGGGCCCCGGCCTGGGCCCCATTCCAATGTCCCAGTTCGGCACCATCTCCCGCCAAATTTCCCGCCACAACTCTTCCACCACCTCCTCGGCCTCCATGGTGTCGGCCACCGGCACTTATCGACGTGCACCATCCGTCTCCTCCCAGCAGCCCCACATCAACGGGGGCCCCGCCTACCCTCAGAATCCAGGTAACTAGGATTAAATACCTTCTTTCTTCATGTATGTAATAAATGGTCTGCTTTACTAGATGGTTTGTATTTTGGAATAGTTCTATCTATCTAATTTGATAAAATTGGTCAATGTGTCGTTATTATATAGATATAGTGATATGAGTCTTGTTATCATCTTAAAATGTTGATATCCAAATTTCGCATTAAGTGCAATTTCCTTTTAAACTTATTTGAACTCATTGTTTTGTTTTTTGTTATCTCTTGTTTTGTTAAGCACTTTGGGCTGCACAAATTGTGCTTTACAAATAAAGTTATTATCATCATTATTATTACAAATAATAATGTTATACAGTCCATTCTTGGCATCTTTCAGTTTCACTCCACTGCTTAAATCTCAATCTCTGGGTCTAAAAGATATTGCATGGGGCTAGCTCTTCCAGAAGCTAATGAAAAAGAATTATGAACCATAATTAATGAAGTCGGGGTTGCTGAACCCTCCTCACCTCACCTCAGCACTGCCTGCAGAGTCTTTCATTAGCATCTGTAATTGAGTTATCACTTTCGGCAGCTGCAGAAGGCTTCTTGTCCGGGAGAGACAGGCAGGCAGGAGACACAGAAATAGCTGCTCGACAAGGGGAAACCCAGGACACGGGCATATTTTCTGTCAGAATGTATTTTGGCAGGCATCACTTTGAGACATTCTCCTCTAATGGCTTCTCCCTCTCAAAGGACAAGCGTCTTGCCTGGCACAGAAAGAAGAGGCTGTTTGTCTGAGAGTAGACAATAATGCAGAGGACTTTAACTAGGACAGCAAGTTATCTCTGTGATGTCTACTCATTGGAAATGTATCCAAAGAGCCAAGATATGTTTTGGGTTAGGAGTTGTTTCAACACAAACGGGTAGTTCTGGTACACGAGGGAGCTCATTGATGGATGGATGGATGGATGGATGGATGGGGCTCTGCGTTGAGAGCAGGGTGGAATAATAAAACATGACTGCCCAGCCAGATTAGAGACGCCCTTCCATTACGTGTGATTTATGAGTCAGACCTGCCGTGTGTGTGTGTGACGAGGACAGCTGTGTTTCTCTTTGTTTGTCTGTTCTAATGCTGGGCGATAGTGTGGTGCAGTGATGAAACATTTTTGTAGGCCAAATTGGAAGCAATGAGATTTTTCCATTTCCGAATATTGCAGGTAATAAGATAAGTGGCAAACACAGGTTCATGTTACCTAGATGTTTTTTTCAGCATGACAATCTCATGATCTTTGAAGCATAAATGTAATCCCCAGATGTCAAAAGCTAACGTTAGGCTATAAACAAAATACATCACTGCTGCATGTGAAAACCGCTAAGCTAAAGGCAGCTAATATTTAGCATGACAACGCTAATTATTCTCACTGGTCGGCCACTGCCATTTTTACATAAACCTGAAAACACCTTAAAAAAAACGTTGACTTTCAAAACCAAAAAACAGAAACTGTAAAAAGCGAACTAATTTCATGGTTTTAGAACTAATTCCTGAACAACTATTATATATCAAATATCGATATGGTGATAGGAGGCTAGATATCGTCTTAGATATTGGGTTTGTGTGGTTCAACTTTACAACTTTACCTGTTTTATAATCTGCTTTTCCCACTAAGTCATTCAATCCACATGGCGGGTAATTATTAATAAACAGTGTTATTATGTTATTATTTTGGGGAACAAAACGAATATTCATTCCTGGAATATTGCAGAGGTATTTGGTTAAAAATTGAAAATAGTGATACTTCATTTTTCATATAGCATTAAATCAGATTACCAGAGCTCGACCTGGAAATGCTTTTTTCCCTTAAAAGATCACGTTTCTGCTTTGTTATTCCCACCACACACCGACTAAGCCGTCCCCTTGCTTTGCAGTCCTTCCACTGCAGCAGACACCTATTACTAGCTAAAGCGTTTTGCTTTTGACATCAAAAACGGCTGCTGATGAGGTGGATTCTCAGACGGAGATGAGATGAATGCCTCTTTAGCCCAGCTTGAAGAAGGCATCACAAAATAACACTGATTGGAAATGTGTAAATGAGTTGCTCAGCAATGCTTCCTGCACTGTTTGGCTCACTCACAAGCTTTTTGTGTCTTTTTTCATCCTCATTTCTATCCGCATTCCCCGTTTGGACTTGATCTCTTCTCTATAATGTCTATTTGCTCTATCCCTCCATCGCTCTCTGTCTCTGCTGCTTTGTTGCTGCTCCAGTGTCTGTGGCTCCTCCACCTCCTCCTCCCATGGTGCAGCTGACCCCACAGATCCCTCTGACCGGCTTTGTGGCCAGAATGCAGGAGAGCAGTAAGTAGAAATAAATCCATACGGAGAACATGTGCATGCACTTAGAGATATGCATGCAGATATATGCACACTCACTGGTGGAAAATAACTGCTGTGCATTTCAGGAAATCTCATAATGCTTCCATAAAGAAAATCACATAGTTTACACACAATTTCAGGATCAAATAATAATAGGCAAATTCACAAGAAATGTATTGTGGATGCTTATAGCACTATGAATTGAATAAGTCGTATACATTATATTATATATAGGCATGTTTGAGCTCTCTTACTACTGAGAGCTCAAACATGCCTATACAGTTTTGCAGCCAAGTGCAATTTGTACCCTTTGTTATTCTAATGGCATTATGCAAGTGGAACACAGAAGTAGGCAAACGTTTTTGATCAGACTCAGAGCACAGGATTTGACTAAGAGGTGCAGAGGTATTCTTCAAAAGTTCAGTAAATGAGTTTGAAATAGAAGGGATAACATTTTTTTTTTAAATAAATAAACCTCTGTCCATGCTGTTGGTATTTTTTATTTAAAGAGCCCTTTTCAAGCCAAATTCAAGTGCTTTCCAGGGTTAATAAATCCAAAACACATAAGCAATACTTTTGTGACAATTGCAAGTGTAAAGTAACTTCATCACAGTAGATTGCATAATTAAAAGCGTGACTTCCCTTGCAAAGGTGCCAAAGTCACCTCAAACTCTGGAGACGCTTATCATTTCTGCATATTGCAATTAGTGAGAATTGTGCTGTTTCTGAAATGAGGCTCATTTCCATAGAAAGGGGTGAGTTTTGTATTCAATATTTGCACATGACCTGTTTTAGTAAACGCAAAAAGCACAGGAGATCCAACATGCTTTTCACTTGGCGGTGCAGTCAGGGTTCAGTCAGGGTGCAGTCAGGGTGCAGTCAGGGTTCAGTCAGGGTGCAGTCAGGGTTCAGTCAGGGTGCAGTCAGGGTGCAGTCAGGGTTCAGTCAGGGTGCAGTCAGGGTTCAGTCAGGGTGCAGTCAGGGTTCAGTCAGGGTGCAGTCAGGGTTCAGTCAGGGTGCAGTCAGGGTGCAGTCAGGGTTCAGTCAGGGTGCAGTCAGGGTTCAGTCAGGGTGCAGTCAGGGTTCAGTCAGGGTGCAGTCAGGGTTCAGTCAGGGTGCAGTCAGGGTGCAGTCAGGGTCAGCTGCTTTGAAAATAATTCATTTTTTTGGTCTCATTAGTAAAGTGTAATGGCCACACATGTGTAATCCTTTCTTGAACTCGCCCTTTAATGTATTATATTTCCTCAAAATCAAGGTTTTTTTACTGACCATAAAGTGAAAATAATAAATACATCCACATACGTAAAAAAAGTGACATTTATCATCATCAAAGAGTTTCCTTTCAACCCCTTATCAGAGCTCTGAACACACTGCCTCACTTTCACATCTTCTCTGTGGCTCGCTACACTCGGCACACCTTCTCTCGCACTGTATTTCGGGGTCGAGTGGGAGCTCACGGCACTCGGACGACTGTCTGTTGCCATGGCGATGGATCACTAAAAGCTGTCCTCTCTGTCCACTGAGGAGAGAAAATGTGACCTGATGCCGTGTCCTGATTCCCCCCCCCCCCCCCCCCCCCTATAACTGTCTGTAGACTGGTCAAACGTAGTGCAGGCTGCCACACTGATACACCACTGCATATCAGTCACGCAGTCCAATGAAGAGTAGATTATCCCTTCAGTCTTTAACCAGTCATTTACACCGTTTTATACAAAGGATTAAATCAAATCCATCAAGCAGTTTACCGTTATTTGTTGCTAGTTTGTGTAAAATCTTTCTTAGAAGAGCCCCTCTGACACACAGGAAGTGAAGTATTTTACATTTCTGCATTAGAAAAGGATTCATATGTAAATAGAAGGAGAGATATAAAGTTCAAATGAACAGTAATTTAAATAAAGGCATAAGTGTCACAGTTCAAATCAACCCGCTGAAAAGACACCAACAAAAAGAAGCTCATTTTGTTTATTTAGAATCAATATTTTTCCTGGTAGATTGTCTTTCAGTTCATTTCAGAATAAAATAAAATACAAATATAAAATAATGTTTATATAGATATAAGAATATATATAGAATATATTGTTAAATATATATATTATATAACATAATTGTTCAAGAAGTTAAGTACAATGTACTACAATAAATTACAAAAATAAAAATGTCAGAATATGAAGCTATCTAACAATGGATAACACTCACCAAAAGGTACCAACACACGCTTATCAAATTGTTTTTTAAATAGAGGATGTCTTTGTTATTTTCTATGATTAAATTGATTGGTTAGTATTTATTTAGATAAAGTCCTTTCCGACTACAATTTGCCAGACCTTAACGGGGTAATGGATGCACTAATAAAATGCCAGACAGCTCTTGTTATATATTTTAGCATCTTCAGCATTAAACAGATTTAAAGTCAGTTGTTAGACCATCGGTAAAAAAGGGTTTAGAATCGAAGGGATGCATTCAATCCTGGTGCAGTCTGTTTAAGAGCAGGCTTATGAATGATTTAGTTAAGAGGTGTCGTTTGTGTTTTATCACTGACATGTTTAAAGACATAAGACTGGAGCACCAGAGGGAGGGTCAGAACCGAGTCAAGCTTTTCAAATCCCACTTGATATAGCACTTGTAATTGTGTGAACAAGCCTTTAGCCTTCAGACACAGAGACACCCTGCCTGTATGAGTAAATACCATAGACTGTATATATAAATGGACGTAGTGTCCGTGACGTCACCCATAGGATTCTGCAGAGTTGCCGTGAAGCCCTTAGTAGGCGGAGTCGGCCACTAACGGCTTGACAGCAACGTCAGAGTCTAATCCCGCCTGCTCCAAATAAGGGCAAAGAGGCGGAGCCGAGGCGGGACCTGCTGCCTCCGAACTGGAAGTAAACAGAGCTAGCTCAGGCTAAGAAGCTAAGCTAACATGAAATACATGCATACCAAGTTACTGCTAACAGTGTAGTTCCCCTATATAAACGTTACATTCATAATCAAATGAGACAATCTGCAAGAGAATTAGCTATATTTTGTTATTCTTAATGCTTGTCATTCACACGTTAAGAAAATAAGTACCGATACATAGCAGAACAATTGTGGCGATGTTCAGCTTAATAAGCCTTGTTCAACATAATTTATTTAGCTAATACTACAGCAGGCGAAGCAAGTCTGCGTTTCGCTGCATTCCTTGATCTCCAGTTATAACGATGGACTCCACCGCCCGGACCTAACGGAGCCGCAGGGGGCTAGCTCCGGGACGCCGGCTGGAGCTAGCCCCCTGCGGCTCCGTTAGCTCCGGCGGCCACCACTGGGATAATTGGGTCCCCTATTAACATTTGCTCCCGTTTAGCATTATGGGCGTCATAGCCATAGACTATACAAGTCTTACCCAAGGCTGAATCATAAACTAAAATGTATATGTATGCATAAAGGGTTACGTCCTTAGCTGGCTAATAAGTAACAAGCTAAGCTACCAAGCACACAAACACCTGCGAACGGGGTAAACATGAATAATATTATCATTTTAGACTTCTTAGAAGTTCTGTTAGTACATTCAAGCGCACAGCACGACATTTTAATTGGCTGGTATTTGTAACAATATTCCCTAAAAGGCACAATCACCACGAACACGGCTAAAGCTAAAGGGTCAAGTACAGTACTATGACTAACTAACGTTGTAGCTAGCCTCTATGGTTGTAGCCTAGCAGAGTGGACAAGTTGCTGTTAGCTGACAGTGAGGCATGTACGTGTCCATCAAAGTGACCACGCCCTAATTTATGCAAAAACGTTAAGACCTAATATAAATAAAAGGGTCGCATTAGAAAACAATTCACTCACAGATCCATAATCATGAAGGTGGAATCTAACTATATCGATAATAAAAATGTATGGAGCCAGGGGTAGAAACATGTTTTTTTCTGCTGTAAAGTTGGGCATTTTAACATGGGGGTCTATGGAAATTGCTCCTTTCTGCAGCCATCGCCTATCGGGCAATATATGAACTGCAGTGTGTGGCACTTCCGTATTGGCGTCCCGGCTCTTCCCCAGAGTTTGCCGCTTGGTAAATACACACATCAAGGGAATATTCAGGGCGGTTTTGTTCTGCTTAAAACGCCACTGCTAATACTTTTGGGGGGAACTGGAATAGAAATGATAAAAGTTTGGGAATGTCTGAACAGGAGGCCATAGTAAAAGAGGCTTTAAACATTCTTGATGAGAATTTAGAAAACATTGGGGTTTGAGTTGCTCCATTTAATATCAAATCAAAAATATTTATATAAAAAATGTTGCAGCTAAAGATTCAACTGGCAATAAAAAAGATAAAATAAAATATTCATCTTAACATATGTAAAGTAAAAAAGATAAAATAAAATATTAAAAAATATATATAGTGGTGTGTAAATAGGGGCTGCTTTAAACAACAGCAAAAGTATATCAAAACATCTGATTACAAACCTTCAGTTTTTTGATGTATTTCTCACCTTGAAGACATGCGAGAGAAACAAAGCTTCTTAAAGAATTCAAGTTAACTCAGGGTGAGATGTACTAATGTGAATACATGCAAATAAATGAACTATGAGTGTTTGACTCAATGACCTCAGTATTTTTTTAATCCTGTCCATGTCCTCTCAGTTATAGCAGCAGGAGTAGAAGTAGTAGTAGTATTATGTAGTGATGGTATTAGTAGTAGCTGTAGGAGGACTGCGGTAAAGACGAAAAAGTGTCCTACGCTGCCCTCTAGTGGACAAATAAAGGTCCACAGTAACAGGGTTCATCAAGTTTTCTGTCCGTTGACATGATAGATTTCAATATAGACAAAATGAAATATTTCACAATATGTATGCTACTTTAAAGTCTAGAACATTATTTTACTTCTATTAGTTCTTACTGACACATAATACTCATTGTATAAATAAATAAAAGATTCTCCATCTCTGCTCTCTGTCCTATTTCAGTAACAGACAGCCCCGCCCCGCCTCCTCCGCCTCCCCTAGAGGATATTGTGGGTGTGTTTGAAGAGCGCTCTCCCCCTCCTCCTCCCCCACCTGCGGACTATGAGGACGAGGATGCAGCGGTGGTTAATTACAGCGACCCCTACGCTGACGGAGACCCCCACTGGGCCCCCAAGATTTATTTAGAGAAAGGTAAATGGCTTTTAAAGAGACTTTTATTTTTCCTCCTCTTCATTAAAAACACTTCAAATCTTAAAGTTTCATTTGGTGACAATGATAATTTGTTTTTATCATATTTGTTATCATATCATATTTGCTAAAATTGTCACCTAATGAAACAAAAAGTAAATGTCTGTTAGTCTTCCTCTTGATAGTGCTTTTAATGTCACAGTTTACTATATCCGCCACTGCATCAAACCACTTCTGTTTGTTTGGATTTGTTCCCAGTTGTGGCCATCTATGACTACAGCAAGGACAAGGAGGATGAGCTGTCCTTCATGGAAGGGGCCATCATCTACATAATCAAGAAAAACGATGACGGCTGGTACGAAGGCGTCGCTAACGGCGTCACCGGACTCTTCCCAGGAAACTACGTTGAGGCGATCATGCACTATGCTGACTAAAAAAAATACAACACGGTTTTGAAAGGAGGTTAAAATGAACTTTAGACGTACTGCACTTCATACAGCCCCCATTTTGAATGAAGTGCCATTGTGGATTTTCAAATGGTTTATTTTTGGGGGGTTTGTGCTTGCACGGTTTTGTTATACTCCCAAAAAAAAGTGTCGCACAATGAAGGAGCTAAAGCTTCGGACCAGGGTCTGTTAGTTTACACTGTTCATGAAAGGGAGGAGATTAAGGCCTTTCAGATACCACTGTTACGGCCCGTCCACACAGCGGCGTGCGTTGAAGCTTCAACGCTTCTGCCCATTCACTTTGAATGGGGTGACGTCACGCATCACCGAACTGCATTGTGGGAGCGAAGCGTAGCTTTGAGCAATGTTCAACTTTTGAAGCTTTGATGGAAGCGTCAGCCAATCGAATCATATGCCAGTGCAAGCTCTAGCCAATCAAACCGCTGCTTGTGTGTCCGGGGCGGGAGATTCAGGTGAGTGGTTGTTGGTCTAGCTCCAGACATGCCCGCCGGCAAGCGACAACGCAAGCCGCTGTGTGGATGGGCCGTTACATCTCTGGTGGTCTGTAGCAGTCTAAAGGGGACATATCATGTTCGTTTTCAAGTTCATTCATGTACTTCGGGTTTCTAGTAGAACATGTTTACATGCTTTAATGTTCGATAAACACGTTTTTTTCTTCGTACAGCCTGTGTAAAGATACCTGAATTCACCATCTGTCCGGAACACCCCGTTTTGGCGCCTGTTTCTTTAAGCTTCCTTCCTGAAAAAGCCCAGTCTGCTCTGATTGGCTTGCGGGAAAATATTGTAATGGTAGTTCTCAAGCCAGTGTGGATGGAGGTTGGTGTTTTCTAATGAGCATGAATGTGAAAGTTAGTTGATTGGCACTGATAAAGCTTTTCATGATATGTCCCCTTTAGAAGTCACATTTTTCCTCAAAGAAATTACATAATTAAAAAAAACGACAAGTTAATTTAGATTTTGTGTTAATTTGCCGCCAACATTTTCAGTATTTAGAGTATGCAGTAGATCCAGACAGGGAAGTGTTGCAAGGATTTCATAAATAGATGAGGCAGTATCGCATTTTTAGGATAAAATGCCGTGCATATGCTCCTACCCCTTATTTGCACTGTAGACCAGCAGACCAACCCTTCCCTTCCTTAAAAGAACATCCATCTTACCTTAAAAAAAACACCCGAAAAAGGACAAACAGACATCAACAAGTGCATTAGGACACCACTGAATGTTCAATGCCGTCGATGTCCGAATCACAAGCTTTTTAAGGTGGAACAAAAGCAACCTCGTGTTGTGTACTTACTATGCTCTGTGTCAATGGGGATGCTGTTAAAAACTGAGTGTATAGAATGCATTACAAAAAAAAGACAACAGTTTCTTGTTTCTGTTCTCTAACTTGTATATAAACTGTAACGTGAGAAGCTGCCAATAACAGTACATTTGTCACTTAGTGTGTTTTCACCTGTTTCCATCCGTGCAGGTGATGCCAAGATTGGATGCCATTTACATTTTTTATTTAACTTGAATATAAATTCTATTCATCACTCACAGTGCCATTTTTTACTTTATCGTGTCAAAGTGGCCGTGTATAAACAGTTATTTTTCTATGTTCCGTCACACCTATATCCTGTTGGTCACTTATTCGGTGATGCTGTCCAGCTACTGTAGCAGAGCTTCTAAACACGAAGCAAAGGAAGGACTAAACTGTTTGTTTTCAAGTTTTCTTCCCATTGCGTTTGAATAGCTGCACTGATCAGGTTAACCGTGATGACTTCATGATTTCCGGCATTGCAAGAGTTGCTTACAGAAGTATCGGCTAACCTTTACATGAGTGGTTTCTGGTGAGGGGCTTTACATTGGTGCTCAAAAAACATTATCACCAACACAAACAACCTCAAACCGAGACTTCTCTACACACTGTAAAAACGTAACAAGTGATGTTAGCGTAATTTCTTTGTTCGAAAAGGTAAACATCCATCAGATTTGATTGTAATCGTCTTCAATCACCTCTAGTGAATGTAGGCAACCCAGCAGTAATGTAAAACTAAAGTTTGTTTTTGTCAATGTACACCCAGAAACAGATACAAGTCTGCGCTACAAATGAATGAGACTTGCTAAACGCAGTGAATTGCAATCCAGAGGGCTTACAAACAGTGCCGATATGAAGACTTCTGTGCTGGTTTCTACTACTTTTTCAAAGTAAACTGCCTGCTCTTACAAAGTGATTGTTGTTGCAAGTAAAACCCGCCGTCATATATCATCAAAGCTAATTGTTATTTTTGAATACATGTTTGTAACAAGCCACATAAACAAACATAATCATGTACTATGAGAATAACGGGCATTGAACACACTTTTATTTTGAAATGGATACAGACAAACCAAAATACTTCAGTATTCATTGGGCCTTTGTGCATGAAAGCATGCATCTAAACGTCGTAACAGTGAATGATTTGCCACTACATCCCATTATGATTGTATTTATTCCATCAGGAGGTCATTTTTTGTGAAAACTTTTCTACCTAATGTATTTCTAGCTTTGCATTCAACTTGTTTTTGTGTCTACTGAGGAAGGTTTGGATATAGCAGTTTGTATGTAAAGGATTAATTTATACTTTTTTCATAGAGAAATCATGAGACAACCACTGACGTGCAGAAATTTGTAATGTTTACCACTTAAAGTTTCGCATTTCAGGGCATCACAGGTCAAGGCGCATTTCTTTGATGTGTGTTTTTTTAATGGTGAAAAGTAGGGTGGGGGGAATCTGTAACTTAAATGTTCATGGGAACAGAATCCAATATTTGTCTTCTCCTCTCAGTTTGTACATAGGATGTGTTCATTGAAATGTATGTACAGTCTTTTTGTAATAAACAGTTCATTGAAACAATGAACAAAATTACGTTTGGAGTGTGTCGTAAATGTGCGAAAAAGGTATTACTTGCAAAACCATACACAAATCAATATCCTCATATATATGGTAATAAATTAAATCTGTTCTTTTGCATTATGACATGTAAGGTTACTCCTATGTGCATTACAGAAACATGATATTATTGGCACCAAGTTAACAATTCTTCCGGATTTGTGTTTTCCAATCAATTAATCCAGGCTAACTGAAGGACACCTTAAACTTGTGTGTGTCCAGGAGGTGGAGGAGGGATGAAATCAGGAGGTGGAGGAGGGATGAAGTCAGGCGGTGCCTCGTGTGGGTAGTCTTCAACATTTGTAGTTTGGGGTGGAGCCTGTTGCGTGTTGACCTGTGAGTTATGTCTGTCTGTAGAGACAATCGAGTGAGACATTGAGTGAGTGTTATTCTATATTTAAAAAATACTGCTTTCCTACAGTTTTCTCCCTGGCTGATCAAAAGCACCAGTAACACGTCTTAAGGTATAGTGTGTATAATCCGGCAAGCAAAGAAAGCAATTAAATTGAGTCAGATGCCAGCCTCACAGCAGTTTCTAGAGCTTGTTTGATAAATACGGGCCGTAAAACTGCTGCAGAGCAACTATTTCAAGTATACTACGTCATCGAGTGGCGCCGAAGGACTGTTTAAATGCTTCTTTTTTTAAATAAATGTTTTATTGAACATTTTTAAAACATACAAAAGCTCGGTGAGGATATCATCAACTTATCAACATAAGTGCAAGACATTCATTCACAATAAGACAAAAATAATACATCCAATAAGAGCCAGGGGGAGAGAAAAAAAGCATAAAGGCACAAAAACATTTGAGAGGCATTAAGCTTACTTAAAATAATAACCATTTGGAAATGTCATTGCAAATCTTTATAGACATGTTACAAGATTGTATTTTCCTAAGGGACAGAAAAAAGGACTTGAACTCATTTATGAAACAGGGAAAGGAGGGCTTGCCTCCTCTCCATTTACTACAATGTAAATGGTATTTACCCAAAATAATAATTATATTTACCAAATCAGATATGGGAGAATCCAAATTATCAATATAATATAAAATGTGATATATTTTGAAGGCCGGAATGTTTGTTAATTTAAGTAACAACCAATCTCTCACATTCGACCAAAACAATTTAGAAAAAGGGCATGAGAAAAATAAATGTTCCAACGATTCATTAGATAAATTACAAAAGGAACATGGTTCCACTTCAAATTTAAATTTTGAATTTAAAAAAGTAGAAACCGGGTAGATTTTATGAACAATTTTAAAATGAGTTTCTTTTGCTTTAGGAGAAATAGGCAATTTTATAAAATAAGATAGAGCTTTTTCCATTACAGATAAAGTGTCTAAATCGATCCCTTGTGGAAATAAGCCTCTGTTCAAATGTGGGATTTCAAAGAAGCATTAATAGATTTGTTATTCTTAAGAGTATCGCCAATAAATTCCAAACTAGGTAAAACTGATACAACATTTGAGTACAGTAAAGTATTATGAATCATTTCAATAAGTGGTACAGGAATTGCTTTACAGATTTTGTTATAATCTTTAGCAGTACACGTTATATTGTATTTCGTTGAAAAAGCCAAAACATCTAGCAGTTTACCATTGCAATCTAGTAAATCACTAACAAACAAAATACCCCTCTCATGCCAATCACTCCTAAACAAGGATTTTCTGTTTATAATAATCACTCTATTGTTCCATGAAGTAGATCCATGAGGAGAAAAATTGTGGGTAAATATCATTTTCCAATAATGAAGTATCTGCTTATGAAAATTTGACAATTTGGTCGGAATCTTATTAACCTCAAAATCACATTTTAAAAGAAAATCAAACCCTCCTAGACGTTTAAATATGGCCTTTGGAATATGGAACCACATGGATTCTGGCTGGGACAAAAAAGCTTTCAACCATTTTATTTTAATTGTCCAATCATCGATTCAAAGTCTAAAGCTTTAATTCCGCCTTTATCATATTCTTTAACAAGCTGTGACTTTTTAATGTAGTGAGTTTTATTTCTCCACAAGAATTGGAAAATAATTGAGTTTTTTTTTAAAAATATTGGCCGAGGAGACAAAACATGAGTGGCATGGATAAATAAGTTTAGATATACCTTCTGCTTTAGTAAGAAGAACTCTGCCAAAAATAGTAAGATCATAGTTAACCAATGACTGAGAGATTTCTTCATATCTGTGATACGGTTACAAATATTAAGATCTTCTCTCCTGATATAATTTTTAGATAATGTTATTCCTAAATATTTCACTTCAGGTACCACTCTAATAGAGTCAATAATGGAATCATCACATGAATGGATAGGGAGCAATTCACATTTTGAAAGATTAAGAGATAACCCTGATGCTTTTGAAAAAAATTGAAATTGTGTTAAGAGTTTCCTTTACCATGGATTTATTCTTTAGGAAAATGGATGTGTCATCCGCAAATTGACTAATTTTAAATTCTTTAGAGAGCATCCTAATTATGTTGCAGAAATGTTAACCAAAACCCAGAAATGTTAGAGTTTCCATTAAAAAGGAATGTTCAACAGTATCAAAAGCCTTATAAAAATCCAGAAATAGTACGAGACCTTCAGTATCAATAAACTCCTGGTAATCGAGCATATCCAATATCAGTCTGGTATGGTTATGAATACTTCTGCCCTTAATAAAGGCTGATTGACATTCATCTACTAGTTGATTCAAACCTGAGTTTAACCTGTTAGCATAAACATGTGCTAACAGTTTGTAATCATTACATAGTAGGGTAATAGGTCTCCAATTATCCAACAAAAGATTATTTTTATTTGGTTTTGGAATTAAGGTAATAAGGCCATGTTTCATGGTTGGCGAAAGGTTTCCTGCTGAAATACAATCTGTGAAAGCCTTATAAAGCATTTTTCGCACATCTGACCAAAAATATTTGTAAAACTCTATGGTTATACCGTCCAGCCCTGAGGCCTCATTTTATAACGCCGTGCGTAGGATTCACGTGGGAAGGTTGCTTACGTAGTAGAAATCCAAAAAATAGGTACAGAAATGTTCCGACATTTTCCGATTCACCAAACATTGCGTACCGGCGAGGAAAGTGCGTACAGCACTTCCTACGCCGGTTTCCCTTTATAAATCACAACCGACTCGAAATGCGGTGCAGCTTTTGCGGGCTTCACGTAACGCCCATATTTGCCTATAAATTAGGGCCGTCAACGCGTTAATAACGCGTTAACGCAAAAAAATATTAACCTGGGCGGGTCACATTTTAACGTGGGCGGGTCCCAGTTCCGTGGGAGGATCACAGTTTAACACAGATGAAGACTTCTCCACGCTGCTTTCAAACTGTGAGTAAACACCGTGTGCTTCACTTGGAGGCTGTCTGAAGGTATACACAGATGGACTTGGACATTAACAACGATATTCCGTAATAAGTCTGGAAACAATAGCTGGTTTAAATGATTTATTCGAGCAACTCGTTTGTCTTGTTGTAGTCCTCGCTGTTCGCGTCCGGATATCGCCATCGTAATCACAACCTCACACACTGGTACTGGATGTGCATCAACGTGTTCCTAAGAATCCAAATATACCAAAAGATGTATGTAAACGACAGAAGAAAGCGATCGAAATGTGTATTTCAGTCGAAAGCCACGCACCCCACGGAAACGAGTTGATTGGGAAACAAGTTGATCGGGAAACAAGTTCATCCGGAACACCGGCCACAGTTACTACTGTAACTACGGTTCTAAGCCGTGTAAGTACTGGCCATAGTTACTACTGTAACTACGGTTCCAAGCCGTGTAAGTACTGGCCATAGTTACTACTGTAACTACGGTTCTAAGACGTGTAAATACTGGCCATAGTTACTACTGTAACTACGGTTCTAAGCCGTGTAAATACTGGCCATAGTTACTACTGTAACTACGGTTCTATGCCGTTGTAAGCACTGGCCATGGTTACTGCTGTAACTACGGCTCTGTGCTGTTCTCTTCTTAGAAGCTAGTTATCTGGTCTTAAACATTTGTGTTTGACTTGATCTCGCTTGATTGTTAGCAGCAGCCGCTTGGCTAACGTCTTGCGTGTACTGTTAAGCTTAATTATTAACTCAGCTGGTGAAGGCAGTGCTCTCGCTCCCGCTCCCTGTAACGTATTGCTCTGATTGTTAGCAGCGGCCGCTTGGCTAACATCTGGCGTGTTCTGTTGAGCTTCGTTGTTTAACTCATCCAGTGAAAACAGTGTTTTTCGCCCCCGCTCTTGGTAGACGTGCTGCTTGATTCTTGGCAGCAGCCACCTGGCTAAGCTGCCCCGTTAAGCTTCTTTATTTGATCCAGCTAGGTGAAGGCACTGCTCTCGCTCCCGCTCCCTCTGCCGGTAACGTGGGTGTAGTTACATCCCTCTCTGTGTTCGGCGAGTAGGAGCATTGCTCTACTCTTTCCGTTCAGCAGGTAGCCGGTTAAGGCTGTGTTCTCGCACCCGCTCCTGGGTACGCTGCACCTGGCATTCGTTATGAACTCAACCAGTGAAGGCAGTGTTCTCGCCCCCGTTCCTGGTAGACATGTTGCTTGATTCTAGCAGCAGCAGCCCGGCTAAGCTGTCCTGTTTAAACGTCTTTATTAATCCAGCTAGGTGAAGGCAGTGCTCTCCGTTAGCAGGTAGCTGGGGAAGGCTATGTTCCTCGCGCCTACTCCCGGCTACGCTGCATCTGGCTACCTATAGACTGGCTCATTCATGTAGCGCCTGTATGGCATCTCTTGAGCCCGAGGGCGGCCATGACCACTGCCCCCCTCTGCCTTGGCCTCGAGCATTTGAGGGAGGGTCTCACGCAAAGCGCCTGCATGAGCTGTAGATTCATGCCTCGGGCGCTCAGAGTGGCTAGAGTTCGCAGAGGTGGCACACCTCTCCTCGTCACAACTTCCTCCAGCTCAGTCTGACCGTTCCCGGCGACTTGATGGAAGGATGGCTATGGTTTCACCCCCCAGGTAGAGGGTTAGAAACAGGCTGTCCTCTAAGGTGGGTCGGTTAGCTGCCGTCATGGAGCAGACGAAGTCGCTCCTGTTGGCCCTTCAGCCAGGGGCCGGTGTGGGGGCTACTAGCTTGCCGCCTGGCCCTCCTTCGGTTGCCACACCTCTGCTTGAGGAGGCCATGTCGCTAGCGGCTCCGGATAAACCTCTTCTATGAAGGGGGGGCGGGGCCCCGCTCACCCCCGAGGAGGCTTCCCACTCCTCTGCTCAGAGCTCTCTGCAGGGCACGGAGGACGCCTTTATGGCGGCCATTATTCGTGCGGCCCTGGTACGCTTGCAGCTTCAGGTTCCGCAGGCCGACTCGGCTCGGGCTAGCGCCTTTTTCAGGCATAACCCTGCCCCTTTTCA